GGTTGGGCCTTTCTCTGGTTTTGGTATCAGTATGATGCTTGCCTCCAGAAATGAGTTAGGGAGAATTAGCAACCTCCTTTCCAGTGGAATGATAGGGCAATCAATAAAAAAAAATCTCCTGAGAAAATAGGCAAAGGATGATCATAACTGAATTTGTTAATACCTGATAATTTATGGGTCAACAATGGCCAGCATCATATTAAGGGAGGAAATAAATCATTTCCTCTAGAATAATGAGCAAATCAAGGATGCCTACAATCACCACTTCTATTCAGCATAGTATTCAAAACAGTGGGTGGAACAATCAGGCAAGGGAAAAATGTAGAAGGGAAATATGTAATGAAAGATGCAGCCTAATTATTATTTTGAAATGACATGATGCACTATATAAGGGACACAAAATATTACACCAAGAAAAAAATTAGAATTAATAATCAATTTCAGCAATAGAGCAGGGTAATAAATAAACACACAAAGTTCAGGAACATATATATATATATATATATATATATATATATACCGGTAGTGAAGTCAAAGAGAAATAAACATAAAACCAATCACATTTACTTTCCAGTTCTGTAAGTTTTAGTCTATCAAAGCTAAAATCTAGGAATTACACCTACCAAAGAAGTGTAAGACTTCTATAATGAATAGGACCTTATGTTGAAAAAAGTGCTTGAAGACATAAATGGTGAAATAAAATAAAGAAATAAACATACACAAAAAAGGAAAACAGAAAGATATCCCTGGTCCTTGATAGGCAGAGCAGGCATTCTCAAAATGTCCATACTCTCAAATCCAATATAAACATTCTTTCTACACCAATCAAAATATATTAGCACTTTGGTTTGTGAATGATTTTTTGTGAGCAATTTGGTGGGTACACAGAATATTTGACAAAATTTATGATTGTATATGAACTCTGCATTAGTTGAAAAACACAGCCATGGAAAACTTACTGGGAGAACATACATGTGACCATTTTCTATGACTTGTGGACAGAATTACATTCCTGAACCACTGTCATAAGAATATTCCACATGGAATTAGATAAATCACTCCTGAATATCATATCAGACCAAAGCAGACCCAAAAGAGCAAAAGCAAACTTGGGCAACAAGAAAAAAGCAGGAGCCATCACAATTCTTAAATTAATATTGCTAGAGAAAGCAAAATTGGTACTAGAAAAGTTGTGTGGTCCAATGGAACAGAACCGTGCATACAGAAACAGATACAGATACTTTCAGCCATTTGCCCATCTGCAATAGGGCCAAAATATATTCTGGAAGAAAGACCCCTCCTAAATAAGTGATGATGGGAAAGTTTGCTAGACACTATCTTTGTGCAGATGATTATTACATTTCATGACACAATTAGACAAGCTTGAAATAGATGAAATATCTAAACTTCAAAATGGAAGCACTGAACATTTTGAAGCATAAATAGGTAAAACACTTAAAGCTATATGTATAAGCAAGGTCTTCTTGAACTGGACACTAATTGCACAAGGATTTTTAAAAATAATACAAATGGTACAATATAGAGTTCAAATGCTGCTTTGCAACAAATAAACCAGTTCAGGAAGAAGACAGCACAAAAAAATGGGAAAAAATTTGCCAGCTATTCACTATATGAAAGACTATAAATTGGAAAATACAAAGACTGAATGTATTCGATCACCTAAAACAAAGACCCATTCAAGAAATGGGCAAGTGGCATGAACCAAAATGTGTCAGAAGAATTACAAAGAGCCAACACACATGAAAAAATTCTCAACATCTCTGACCATGAGAGAAGTACAAACTAGAACAGCATGAAGTTTTCTTATACCAGAAAGAATGGGATTCTTGATGAAGTTAAAGAGTAATGACCAGGGGTCTGTCCATGAGGAAAAGGAGCATAGATAAATTGTGGGTGGAAAGTGAACTTCTAAGTGTGCATAGTTGTCAAAGAACTAAAAATAGAAATTCCATATGATCCATTTTTCCCATTTGAAGTACTTTTCCAAGAATGCTTCATACATATGCATATATGCTTACCAAAGTTTATGGCCCACAATTCCTCATCGCGAAATCCAGGAATCAACCTGTATCTCCACAAACAACTGCAAGCATCCAGAAAATGTGGTGTCATAATGTTAAACTACTGCACTGTAAATATTGATGAATTTGAGATATTTGAAGCAAAACAGATGCACTTGGGAAATATAACATCGAGGGAATTAAATCAGACACAGAACTTAAACACTACATGATATCTCTCACTTGAGTAATGCAAATTAAGAATAAAGAGAAAAACAAAAGTGGATAGAAGAAAAGAAATGGCCTAGCTCCCTCACAAATGTGAAGTGGTCCCACAGACAGAGAGGAGGATAAAGTTGGAGACTAAGTAAGGATGTACAATATGCCAAGTACAGCTTGAAAGCTCTCACAATGAATATAAGCAGTATGTGTCAAAAACATGATTGAAGAATTTTAATATCAACCAAAAATAAAATACACAATGGGGAAAGGGTATTTAAAGATGGGGGAGGGAGGTTTAAACGAAAAAGGACTAAAAAGAAATGAGCTATATTTTGTACGTTTACTCACAAGATGAATGTAAACTTCATATACAGGAAACATGCACTAACAGAATAAAATAAAATTTTAAACATAGAAACACAAAATACTTTCCTTTTTTTTTTCAGTTCCCATCCAATTCAGTAAATTCATCTCTGTTTTTATTATTCAATTTGAGAATTCTTTGGTTTATTATGGTTATGTGACATGGAACAATTTTTCTGGAGATATCTTAAATGTATAAAATTTTAACTAGTAGATATAGCCTTACATTTTTAAAAATTGTCTTATTTTAAAAATAAAAGGAGGAAAACATTAACAGACAGACAACCTTTTCCAAAATAGCAAAAGAACAGTACAGACAATAGAGAGTTACAAAGTGGTAGGAAATTAGCAATGCTTGTTTTATTACATATTGATATCTTCAAAGTGGTTTCTCATGAAAACAGAGACATGCAATATCAGAAACTGTTAATGAGTCCTTGATTGATTAATATAGCCTTACATTTTAGAACTGCAATCACTATGTCCAAATTTTGAGGTATATTGTGTTCTGATTATCATTCGGTTCCACATGGTTTTACATTTCCGTGATGTCTTGTTGTATAAACTACAGAGGACTCAAAACTTCACCAATCAATCTCCATATATTTGTGCAAATTCTATCACTTATTTAGGTGTACAATTCTAATATTACATGGACACAAACTCCCTTTCAGAACAGCAGATACATGGCACTTTATGGCATTAATCATATTCATTTTATTAATTCCATGTTGATTATTTGTTTTTGTAATTATTGCAGAAAGAAAGAGTACACATGGTGAAGAGGAAAGAATAAACATTCAAATTATTAATAAGAATAAATCACAGAGCATCAAGCCCATGGTAAGTTTTGGATATATGAATACGTTTACAGATAGAAAAGAACTTTCAATGAGAAAAATTAGTATTTGAGTGTGATAGCATTCTGTAAGGCAAAACTAATGACCCTCAAAATCATATGGCCGGGATACCTTGAGGTTATTTACAGTGTGTCTTATTTTAGAGACTATGATGTGTGAACTTAACAAAAAATGTACAGTTTCACCTAAACCCTTAAATACTTGAAATCATCAGTATTAACCTACTCATCATTTACGTGTGATACTGTAGATAAAAAATATTTTTCTTATCTGGTAATGGGATAATACGAATATACAAGTGAAAAAATCACTCATTTCTCTAGAATTCCCTGATTAATCTAGAATTAAAATTTAGCGAATATAACATATGAAGATATATTAATATATAATAAACAATGGTTGATTTCCTTCCCAAAATGGGTAAATCATACTGACAAAGGCCATTCCATTGGAATGAATTTTTTAAAAAAGCTGACCAGTATGACTGCATACATTTCTTAAATCATTATCTACATTAACATTTTATACTTACAGTGTGAACAATTCCTTACTGAGAATTCATACATGAAGATACAAAGGTATATTTCATTGAGACAGAAATTATACACATAACCAACATGAGGAACTCTCTTACACCCACAAATCACTCAGGAAATAGACTATGACTTATAGTCAAAGGGGACACATAAATGTTACATATTTAGGCAATGTTCACTAAAACTCTGAGCTTATATTTCCTAAAATGTATGAATTTCATTTATTGAAAAATAAGCTAATGTTTCAAAATTAAACTTTAGGAGAACACAGACGTTGAAGTGATAGCTTTTGAAGGAAATCTGTGTGGGAAAACCTTCACAAATCCTTCTGCATTCAGAAGACACAAGATGAGTAAAACTGGAAATCAATGCTGCATATGGGAAAAAAACTTCAATCAAACATCTAAAGTTTATCAGCATCATAGAACGCCCAGTGATGAAAAGCTTTATAAATGTCATCTTTGTGGGAAAACCAGGAATAATTCCTGTAGCCTGAACAATCATGTGACAAAACACACAGACGAAAAACCTCATGGATGCCGTTTCTGTGGGAAGACCTTCTCTCGATTATTTAATCTTAGTATACATGAGAGAACACACACAGGAGAGAAACCATACGAATGTCATGTGTGTCAAAAAGCTTTTGCTCAGCCTAATACCCTTAAAAATCATAAGAGAACACACACAGGAGAGAAACCATATGACTGTCATCTATGTGGGAAGGCCTTCTCTCAATTATTTAACCTTAAAATGCATGAGAGAACACACACAGGAGAGAAACCATATGAATGTCATCTGTGTGGGAAGGCCTTCTCTCGATCATCTCAACTTAGTGCGCATGAGAGAACACACACAGGAGAGAAGCCATATGAATGTCATGTGTGTGGAAAAGCTTTTTCTCATCCTAATGTCCTTAGAAATCACAAGAGAACACACACAGGAGAGAAGCCATATGAATGTCATCTATGTGGGAAGGTCTTCTCTCAATCATCTCATCTTAGTGTGCATAAGAGAACACACACAGGAGAGAAGCCATATGAATGTCATGTGTGTCAAAAAGCTTTTTCTCATCCTAATACCCTTCAAAATCATAAGAAAACACACACAGGAGAGAAACCATATGACTGTCATCTATGTGGGAAGGCCTTCTCTCAATCATCTCACCTTAGTGCGCATGAGAGAACACACACTG